CTGATCTAGGTGATCCTGATCTAGCAGGGGAGTTGGACTAGATTTCAAGGTCCCTTCCAACCCCTAATGTTCTGTGATTCTGTGATCAACAGAAATAAAGTAGGTATACTCTGAAAGACATTTTTCCCCTTTCAGGGTGCTGTCCACATTGTCTTAGATGCCTTTACACTTATTTGATAAATTTATCCCACCATTTTAAGTGACGGTGATATACAATTTAGATATAAATGCAAATACTGAGGATTAAGATAACATGGCAATGAGGTAATTTTCTAGTATTAAACTGTGTCAAAACTATACAAGTTTACATAGCAGTTCAAAAACAAATTTTAAAAATTTGAAATAAAAAGGAAAGCAAGACAACCTCAATCCTCAATGGTTATGTAATATATTAAGAAATACCTCCAAAACTGAAAAATCTAAGGAGTTGAAATAAATTTGAAGTAGAAACTTGGGCTGAGAAACAGGAGTTCTCTGTATTCATATTGTTAGCTTCTTTATCTCCCTCCCAATTCCATCCATATTAGCAATAAAAACATAAGCAAGTTAAATTTATGATTTCAGGGTACTAAAAGGAATGTTACCTATTGGGTTGGCTTTAAAACCAGGAACCAGATAATCCAACATTAATGGGGATTTCCTTCATGGTATTGTTCAAGTAACAAACATAGTTTAAAAAGGCTCATTTGCTTTGGGATAAGGAAAATAAAAATAAAATCATCTCCTCCATAAAGTAATGCTCCTGATTAACAGCAATACATTCTGATGATCTTTTAAGTTTATCACACCTTTGCTCCTAAACATAGGTGAACTAAGTGAAACTTTTAAAATAAGAAGCAAGTCTGAAGCTCAGAAAGCCAGAAGTCCTTAAAGAAAAAAAGGTTAATTTCTAAAGAATTCTGAAGTATTAAAGTGTACTACTCCTTCAAATGCCATGCGGTAAGATTTAAAAGGAAATATATCCATTTAAAAAATGTTGCATATTTATCAGCTATGAAATCTAATAATTATTAAACCCTAAGCCCCCAAATTCTGTGGTAACAATATTGAAGAAATTTATCCTTCTGGACTTTATGCATTTACTTCATAGGTGTAAAGTTATTTAGCCAATCAATGAATAAACCTTACACAGCAACTACAGGCAGAAAAGTAATAAAGAAAAACACAAATAAGTCCTCACAAGAGTTAAAGGACAAGGACAGTACATATATGTGGATTTAGTATACTTTTAAAGTTGACTAGATTTCAAATTCACACTGTAATTTGCTAACAGTCTAATAACTCATTTCAAAAATGCATACAGAGCCCCAAATTAAATCTTATTTCTATATTAAAAAATACAAAAATATTTTCAAATGTATGTATTCAAAATCCAGTATGTACCTGTGCCTTAATAATCCTCAATCTAAACTTCTATTTTAAATATGTACCTCTTTGCACACTATGTTAAAAGTTACATACAAAAGAGGAAGACACTTCACCTGACAAAGTAACGGCCTTAAAATGACATGCTGATACTGACCTTTGAAGTAACAACTGCCGGAAGTTCCCACTTTGTGGACTAATGGTTAGATGGTGAGATAGATAGTTACACAACCGTGCTCCTATGTAGGAAAAATTTGGGACAGATGTGGCCTTCCAAAATAAAAGTGGAAAAATAAATTATTCATAAAAGTCATTATTAGGTTATCAGGAAATATCTTTAAAAGCTTTTTGGAAAAACGGTGTTTAACAACAGTTGAGTAGACAATCGAAGAGCAGAAGATTAATAGTCACTATTTCTCATTGTTAATTGCCCATGAGCAGTGACATAGAGGGTATAGAATACAGAATACACAGTTTTTGGTTCTACCCACATAAGGATAAACTGGTCCCAGCCTCTGTAAAGATTAATAATCACTATTTCTCATGTTAGTTTTTTAAATCTTATCAACACTTTCCTATATGCATTTTAGCACTTAGTTCATTATACTGTGATTTTGTGGCTTTAAGAAAACAACTGCTATTATGCCACATGTCCTCAATTCTACTTCTCCATTGCGACTTATGCCAGACACTAAGTGTCTGAAAGTCACTTACAAACTGTTTATACAAAAAAAAAAAAAAAAAACAGTAAACATTATGACACTTTTTCAAGGACACGAACTCTCAAGGAGCAATGAGTGCATTAGAACAAAATAAATAAAATCATCTTCATTCAGTCTAAGTGCTATTTATCCTGGAATCTATTTTGGGCAATAGTGATTGCCCAAGGAAAGAGCACAAGAACATGGCAAGTAAAGATAAATACTTTCTCCTGTACATGCTCCAGCAAACTGCAGAATAGCAACCCCCTGATTCAGATATTAAAACTGTATCATTAGTTAATAGCTCTTGATGTGTCTTTTTTTTCTAAAAAAAATAGTATTACTGTTGAACATTCATACTTTTATCATAAAAAAATAGGTGGTGGCAATGGAATTCCACAACATAAGTTATACACCATCTGAAAAATATTTTACTCTAAATCTGGTACTTGAAAATTCCAAGAGGTGGAAAAATTAATTGGGAATTCATTAGTGTCTACATTCCACTTCTCTTAGAACTTAAAGCAGAACATCCCCTTATTTTGGCAATTTATTACTGTTCATTTGTTTTGAACTCTCATCTGACAAGACTTGAATTTGAGATTTTTTTTCTCCGATACAGCTACAGTGAAAAAAGGCTCTGGTCTAAGCAACTCAATCAGCTCTACAAAAAAACCCTCCAAGGATACTAAGAAATCATTAAACTTTTAGCTTTATCATCTTTAAACATTCCTCTTACATTTTGATCATCCATCAGTGCTACAGATGTGCTTGCATGCTTCTGCTTCTAATGTGTTTGAAAAAAGCAACTTACCATTAGCATGCCAATGCATTATAGCTAGTTACCTTCTACAAGCAGAGGAAAATATACACTCAGTGTAACTGTACTATGTGCATAACATTGCTGGAAGGAACTGAAGTATCTTTGTAAGAAACAACAAATTTAAGTAATTAAGATAGTCAAAGCAACTTTAGTTTCCAGCAAGGGGCGTGTGAATTAGCTAACGAGCTTTTTGGTGCTTTGGTTCAATCAGTTCTTTAGACTAGAAGTTGCCCCTTTTTACAAGGCAGAATACATAATTTAAATTACATTTCTCTTTCCTAAAACAAACCAACCAACCAAACAAAACCACCCACTCATACAATCAAAAAACCCCACACAACCAAAACACACCACAAAACAAACAAACTAGAAAAGGACAAAAAGCCACAAAACCAAAACGCCACACAAACAAACCCCACAACCTCTTCAAACCTCATCTGCATTTTTTTTTAACCATTATCTTCCCAATTATTTGGTCTGTATTTGCAGTTGCATCCAATACCGAAACAATTCAATTTTGGGTATTATGAACTAGCATAGAACACAAAGACCAAAGAAAACCACCTCACATCATCTTAATAACCAATCATTATAGTGCAACAATGTCTTCCCTGAATTCTAGTTGCTTGGTAATTCAAGTTTATCTCCAACTCAAAAAAGTCATAATCTAACCATGAAGGCTAGTCTACCAATGTGTATCTTGAGAAATTTTAGTTGCTGTAACAGCAACGATCTACTCTATTAACTACACAATAGTCAAGATTATTAAGTCATGAAATCAGAGCGTTCAGCTTTTGGAAAACAAGAGGACTGGCACTTCACTCTGTGTCCTGGTCTGGGGTAGAACAGGGCCGGTTCTGTGCAATGATTTTAAATTTTCAGCTGAAGCTCTTCTAATTAACTGCCTTGTCTGAAGTTAGCAGCATGTTTTCGCAGACTGCTTTAAGCAGTGATAACACTCCATGTTACAGAGTTACTACCAGGGATTGGTATGCAGACCAAGGTCACTGCTAAGCTTGTGTACCACACGGAGGGGAGCAGAAAGTAAAGCTGCACCTGCAGGGAGGAGCGGACAAGATAAGTGACCCTAAGATTCACCAATGGGGCATTCCATCCCATATCCGTCATATTCAGTAAAAGATGAAGGATCAAGAGGGGCAACCCCTTCTGTCGCCCCTTCCATCTCTCTTCCACCTTCCTGATAATTTTTGCTGCTTCTGCAACGGCTGTCATCCGAGGAGGACTTCCTCCATCCTGCCTTTG